TCTTTCCGGTGCCCCCTGTCCCATTCAGGGTAGCTGATCACTCCAACCGCGCTAGGAAAACATTAAATCCACACCTCTGCTTCGGACTTAGTGGGAAACTCGTGGGCAAACACACTTCACCCGCGACGAAAGATCACAAGTCCCTTCTTAATTTCAGACTTTGCAGAAAAACAGAACGACCGAGCAATTTCACTGACTTTAACTTTATTCGATTGGGTACGGGTACGTGGTTTTTTGTGCAGAACTGTTGCTGCCGAAGTATCTAGGCGAACTAACTCCTACCGTGGTACCGATCACCTATTTCATTTCTACCATTTCTTGTGTGTGGTGCGTATGTGTATGTAAGTAGTGTATATAAAGAGTGATCAACGATCGGTTCGGTATGACGATCTATTCTCTACCTTCTTGCATGTTACATTTAGATTGCTTTCAAGTCATTGAGGGTACAGTAGTAATAGTGGACGTTATTTTATTAGAATTAAGTTTAGGATAACTTCAACAAGATACAACAAATTTAACTGAATGCTAGCTTAAGCAATTCCTAATTTAAGCTTGGTTTGATCCCTAACACCAGGCCTTCTGGGGTGAGAGGTAATCACGCTTACCGCTACACCACTGGTGCCGCCTACTATAGTAGCTGGAGCACCTAGATTAAAATGTAATGTAATTTAATTTGAATGTGGAATAAATAAAAAGTTAAAAAAGCTAAATCTTTAAGAGTATTGAGGTAAATGCATATGCGTAATCTGCATTAAAAATGGAACCGAAATAAAAAAAATGTCATCAATTTTGGTACGCTGGAACTATTTTAAATAAATTCGATTATACTAGCGAAAATCATTATCTTAGCATGCTCATGTTTTTGGCTCAGTTCTGGTACTCTCTTCGGTCCCAAGCTAATCGATTCACCCCTCGAAACATAGGAAAATCCACTAACCCCTTATTTTATCTGTCAATCCTTCATAGCGAATCAAAACAAACATTGTGTAGTAGTAGAATTTTGACTAGAATGGGGTACGTTAATCATTTGCTTGGGACCAATAGGCTAGTCAAGTAGTGAGCCAATTTAAAATCGTTAGTTTCGTATTGATTCTTGTTACTACTGTTGAACAATAACCAGTCCTACACAGAAAAAAATCTGACTTTTAATTATCGCGTAAAATCTCCCCACGTTTAATTTTGAGCTATACTTGGCATTAACAGCGAAATTGTTTACAAACTTGTATACAATATTGCTAATTTATGTGATATTGAACTTAAATTTAAACGAAATATCGCGTAAATTTATGTCAAATCTAGCGTTAATTTTATGTGCGCTATATCTTGCAGAAATTTATATGAATTTTTCGAACGGTGTAGAACCAGTCACATATTATTTAATTATACATAAATAGATGCATGGAAGTGTTTTATCGCCTATCAATTAAAACGTAATTATTCTTACCATGTGTAATTATTTCATACGGCGACATTTTTTCGTCATAGCTTGCTGCTCCTTAAAAATGCCTCAATATAACATATTCTCCTGGATTAGAATTCTATAGCATAACATAAACCTAATGGTTGTATCTTACCATTTCCTAGTCCAACTTGAGAGCGTTACGTTATATTTAAGCTCTATAGCTAGCTTGCTGGTTTTATTAGGTACATCGAATCAAAACAAAACAAAAACCTTCGCAACCTGTCAAAAAGTTAACATTCCAAGCGATCCTCCTATTTTCTATTGTAATCAAGATGTAAGAAATGCTCATCGACTCCAATAAAAGCTTTTTCAATACAAGGCATAAAGCCTTGATGCCAATACTGGCCATCTCCAACCAGATTTAGTGAAACTGTCTGTGTTGTTTTAAAAAAGGTTCGTGGATCTTTTGGAAGTGTATCGGAAAGCCGTTTGTTCAATATTTTAAGAGCTCCTTCACCGCACTGTGCCTTATGTTATATGAGGGAGCCCACAAATGTAGATCCTCCAGGAGTTGCAGATTGGCTATCGTCTCATTTTCATCGTGTTCAAAAGCACTGAAGGCGTTTTCATTTCATGTATCTGAATCGATTTGTATTTTTTTTATGTTGGTAACAATTTCCAGAGTATTTTTTGTTATTGTTGTCGTATAAGTATTTCTTATCTGTGAATCTTAGGTCTCTGATAAAGATGATAGTTGGGCTTTAATGAAGGTATAATAGTGCTTCAAATTTTATTTCGGTCATGAAATGTATGCCATAAAACAAAATTACATCTTTTGTTCTGGTTTTATTTTTTTCCTTTGGTTTGTTTTCCGTCGATCTTGTTTTCCGTGCTGAGCACCAATGCTACCGACGCGCCAGGAAGGCAGCTCCCACACCTGGACCCTACCTATCGATCCATCAACTCATGAACCGGGGACCAACGGGCTTTACTTCCCTTCCGAAGGAAGGCGTGATCAGAGATGTTATGCCTCAGAACATCCCGGCGGCGCCGGCTGGGATTAAACCCAGGCCTGCTCGGGTGAGAGGTAATTCTGGTTTTATTCTTCAGTTATAAATAGTAATACAGAACCACCTTACAGCTACCGTTAAAACTATGAAGTCTGAGTCTTAATTTAATAGTAATAAAACAGTTTTACAGACGACTTGACGTCCTGATTTTATGACAACCACACAAAACCGTAATACAACCACAGGCTGCAAGGGATGCTATGATAAAACAATGATAAAATAAGAATAAAGCTTTCAAGCATTTATATTGTTACTTGGGAATTGTCAGTGACAAACATGTGCAGTTTTTGTTATTCTCTAAATAAATCCATGGAGCCGTCAAAGTGCAATAGGATCTACGTTCGTAACTGTTTAAGAATACAGTAATGACCCTATTTTGTCAACCGCCCTTTTGGAAATACTATGTTTTGCGTAAAAGCATATTCAACCATTTGATTTGATATCGATCAGTTGTTGACTTGATAAACATTTTAAAGCATATTCCGAACTTTACAAAATATTGGATCAATCAAGCAATTGTAAACAAATTATGAGAAAGTCACGAACGAGTTCTCATTTTTGCACTGACAAAAAGCGCCAATTTGTGAGCAGTGTTGAGAAGATGTGAACAAATGCAAGAAAATTAATATTTTTCAAGCAAAATTACTCGTGTTGCGAGCAAAGGTGGTTACGAGTTACGAGGTGGTTAGTGTCGTTATGAAACCGAATGGGGGGAAAATGTACAATTTCTATGTCATTTACCACCCATGGACGAAGCAAAATTTTACAACCGTTCAGTATTACCAACAATCAATACGAAACTAACGATTTTAAATTGACTCACTACTTGACTAGCCTATTGGTCCCAAGCAAACGATTAACGTACCCCATTATAGTAGAAATTCTAGTACTAAAGGGCCACCCACATTAGATCCGTTTGCGTTGCGTTGCGGTAAATTTGACAGTTAGACAATAGATTTAGCTGTCACTTTACCGCAACGCGTCCGGTTGGTATTACTTTTTAGCATCAAATTCAACAGATGTCACTACGCCAGTGGTGGATAACCAAGTTTTGCAAGCCCAGGGCTAAAAGTCTCCTTAATAAAGATATACAATTTTTTTGCGGATTTTCAGAAAAGCTCATTTTTTTCAAATATTACTTTTTGCGATGAGAAATTTTTTTAAATTTTGTTTCTTGAACATTTTATAAAAATATGTTGAATTAAGAAAAGGGTGAAGTTTTTAACTTTTTTAAACTATTGATTGGCGAGTACCAGCTGAGTGCAGTGCTGGTAACCGGTCATGTAAATAGGTATAATTAATAGGAAAATACGCTACGATGGTAAAAAGGGGTCTAAAATTGATCAAAAGTATGCTGCGTCATTGAAGTATCCGTCATTGAAATTGTAAGACTCCTCTTGCCAAAGATCAATTCGGGTAGGTTTGGCAAAATTTAAATTGATTATGAAGGTCATATCTCACCATAGGTGGATAAATTCAAGGGCCTCATTATGGAAGTCAAACAAATCGAATGTTGTATGAAATGCTTGTATGGAGAAGTCGTTTCCATTGTCTTACAAAATGTGGCAACCAGGTTATCTGATAAGTACGTTGTAGACCTCGCTGTAGACATGAATGACAAGACTAACACAATACCGTAGAAGAAGTGTAAATAACCTGAGATAAACTCCAGCTTAAAAAGACTCTTATACATCGTTTCTATGGAAACGAAAAATTAATGAAGGAATGTTCCATTCATAGAAATACTACAGTTGACAAGCATTCCATCTGACTACTCCTCAGTGTTTACTAACAAAGTATCTACAAGTTGCCGGTCCAGGCGAAAAGAATGGAAATAGGAGAAAATATGGGGAAAATTCATCGCTCCAATCACTATGCAGTATTTTATAAACAAACCTGTTGTCACAAACACCTGTTGAATACTTGGGGAAAGAGGAAAATTCCAATTTTCCAAGATAATACGCGTAACATCTGATGAAAAAATTAAGTTCAATCGAATTCAACAGATGTCGCCAGTATGAAACATTTGTAATGGCGTTATTTACAGCGTAGAAAATGATTTTAATTGTGTTTTTATAATTGCGCAATCTAGTTGGAAACAGAACAAGCGGATTTGTTTCAATACTTTCAAGGAAAATTATAGGAAAAGAGCAAAACAACCGATATGCGTTACGGGTCGTTATGGCAATGTACGAGTAGGATTGTCATTCTTCATGAAAATCTCTTGTGCGCGGTGGTTGTATCAAGTATCGATAAGTGTGTGTATGTGTGGTTTTTTAGCAGGATTAGGATTATAAATTATAGCATCAGGGGCTTATTCTGTGAGCAATGATGTAAATATGTTCATGTAATTCTTTCTTTCAGCAATTGATCAATGCGCTGAAATGTTTTAAATGTTATCGGCGTTATATTTCAATTTGGAAAACTAGCGCAATATATATGCTACTGGTCTGAATGCGCAAACTCATTTTTAATTTTCCAGGTAATAATCTGCGATGATTCAATACATGTCATATCGATTAGTAATACATTTTTCAGTGCTGAGAAGTTTAGTCGGATAGAAGTTGTAAAACCCATAGTTTTATACAGTGATTATTTAATTAATTGTTGAAATTCGGCAAAAACGTTGTATACCTATGAGGGCGAAGTTTTTTTTTTAGTGACTGGAATGAACGCAAATGATATGTTAACGGAAACACGAATTAAGATTCTATAGAAAGCTCGACTGAAACATTTCTCTAAATTCCACATCTCGAGCCAATAAAAAGTGGTCATGCAATCAAAATATTACACAACGAATTCAGCCAATCAAATTGAAAATCAAATCAATCAGCAGATGCAAGCTTAAAAGAGTAGAAATTTTCTTGTGCTTGTGAAGGTGTGGTCACTGGATGCTAAATTGGATCCAGCCAGCGGTCGCCATATTGCAAAAAGTGAAAAGATGTTGGGCAGAAAGCAGAGTATCAAAGGCGAATCCATACTGGCAGATTATGGCCCGGAAGAATCTCTCAACGAAAGTGCCGATATCGAATGGGTTAACAAGGTTTTCCGTCTGCTTATTAAATTCATTTTGTTGTAAATTTTCATTTCAATGGTTGGTGTTGTGGTTGACTATCGGTGTTATATCCAGTAGTATGTTGATCAATTTTCCCATTTCCACATGGTAGTGACTAGAAACGCGAAAAGCGAACCTGAACATGCGCTGTAGAAGGTACTCTTCCCAGACAGACGAGCCCTTGCAAAAATTTTCTTTTTCTCTTTCACATTTGGATATTACCCACACGAGCATGTTTTCCAGAAAATCTCAGGTTTCATCGGTCCACTGCTCTTTGTTTGTAAACAGTAAATTACACGTACACTATGCTGCATGTATTTTTTTTTTTGCTTGATGTATGAATGGAGAAGTGGCACAGAAAAATAGCAAAATTTTACGCGTTGCATAACTTTGCTACTGTTGTAAAATATTGAAGGGGCACAACAAAATTCAACCCTATCCAATATTGCCATTCTCTCTGCGCCGTTTTCCTAAAACTACACACATATTTTCTTAACTATCAACTTATTAATTTATTATTAATTACTAAATTAAATACTCATTTTTTTGTTTCATCCCTTGTAATTTTTTTTTGCCCCCTTTGAGTAATGTCGGACATAAAATGGAAGTAATATTTCCGGAGTGATTTGAGATTTGGGCGTAATTGCTTTTGTAAACAAACACGTCAATTACTGATTTCTCTTGCATAAAAGCTCTATCTCACAAACAAACTATACCAAATGATAGAGGCATCATTCTGCTACCTCATAGTGTTATTACTTTTAGAAATTGTGCTTTTATTCGCGAGAAATCGGTGATTGACGTGTTTATTTACAAATACAATTACGCCCAAATCTCAAATCACTCCGGATTTGCATCAGCCTTAAATGCTGTTGTTGTTGTTGTTCAATGGCTATAAGCAGGAAGTCAGTTTATCACTAATGATCGGTAGTAGTAAGTCATCCTACAGCCAGTGCCACACACTTAGAAAAAATCTTGTAAATTTAGGTGCTCTGAGACTGACATATACGAGCGTCAATTCTGACATAAATTTGAGTCATAACAGACACGAAATTCAACTCAATCAAACGTACTTTTCGTCGAGTAACGAACTTTTCAGTCTCGGAGCACTTAATTTTACATGACATATTTGTTTACGTTTGATCCTTTCTGTCAAATATGGATTCCGTCACGTGTAAAATTAGTTATTTCGAAGTGTGCAGATTTAGGATCCGAGGGCCTATATTAGCTGCTTTCTAAGTTTGAATCTCAAATGCGCGATCGTATTTTTCCTCCTACCATCTTGATATAACAAAAATGTTTTATAAAGTATAGAAAAAAAAAATCAAATAAAGATATGGAAGAGAAACCTTGATGGCATTTCATTATGAAACTCCAATGGTAGCTCTGACGAGTTTCTCTTTACAAAAAAAGTAGATTTTTCTGCATAATTTTCAATTTTAATTAATTGACAGTCAATAGCTTATTTATTATTTATTATTACTTTATTAAAAACAGTCAATAGCATTCAATATCAATCAATATCCTCAATGACCTTGCTATTAATTAAAGCAAATTTGCTGAAAGATATCTTATCTCAACTCAACAATTAGTGACCAACAACTTCAGATATATTGGCAGACCAACGTATAAAATTAAACCAGAAGTTCAAATCTAAACTTTATGATTGATCGAAAAATGAGAATGATTAGCTTCAACAGAAAAAAAATGATAAATTAAAAAAAAACAACCAATATTTGCTCAGGTCGGTGGACTTTCCAAGCCCAGAGCAATTGTCGCCTTTTCCCCTCCTCAAATCCGGCCCTGATCCATCAATCAATCAAATTTTACATCAACAATAGAAAAGGGCCCATCAGCATTTGTAAACAAACCGTTCCAAAGCCCTTTACTTACAAAGCGAAGGCCACCCACGCAAACCAACACCATCATCGGATAGGGGAAACTTCCACCTACACGATGATGGTGTTGGTTTGTGTGGACAGCCTTCGATTTGTGAGGAATGGGCTTTGGAATGGTTTGTTTACAAATGCTGATGGGCCCTTTTCTATTGTTGATCCAGAATTTTTCTTTTGTATATGTATCTCCATATTTTTTTACACAAGCATCATATTTTTTTATCAATATTTTATTTTATATTTCTTATTGTTTCCAATGTTGTATGTAACTAAATAAATACAGTTCTAAAGTTCTTTCATTTCACAATCATTAACCATTCGTTCAAAAACTTATCGTTTCAAACATCGCATGATGTTAAATTAGAGCATGTTTTTGTCAATTTTCACTAGCTTGCGCATTCAACTTGTACATATGTAAAATAATTTCAAATGATCGATAATTTAATCATGGAAGTAACATCATTCCAGCTATGGGTTCGTCGATTGATGCGTTTGTGCGCATTGGTATCGCTCACATCGGTATCAATGAATACGCCAAAAACATTCGAAAGATACCCGTTTCTACAGTACTTCACATTATGCAGCGATATCGTAGTCACCCTGCTGTTCACGGCAGAAATGATCGCCAAAATCCACATACGGGGATTGTTGAGGGTAAGTTGAGTAAGTTGAAAAAAATCTGTTGAAAAGATGTTTTATGTCTAACAATCCTGAACGTTCCAGGGAGAAGCCCCATACCTGAAAGATCATTGGTGCCAGTTCGATGCTTCCATGGTGTTCTTCCTCTGGGCGTCTGTAGTGCTGCATATTTTCGAAATGCTTGGTATATTGCCAAAGTTTCACTACCTCACCATCCTTCGAGCACCGCGACCACTGATAATGATTCGCTTCCTGAGAGTCTTCCTTAAGTTTTCGATGCCAAAAAGTCGGATCAATCAAATATTCAAACGATCTAGCCAACAGATCTACAATGTCACATTGTTTTTCCTGTTTTTCATGTCTTTGTATGGGTTACTGGGAGTACAATTCTTTGGCGAACTGAAGAATCATTGCGTTCTCAATACCACTGAACCAGAGTATGTTTTGTAGTTGGCTGACCCTAATTGGCTTACATTTGATATGGCGTGTTTTATTCTCAGAGGTCTCACGATCAACTCACTGGCCATTCCGGACACGTTCTGTTCGACAGATCCTGACTCTGGATATCAATGCCCCACCGGTATGAAATGCATGAAAATGGACTTTCTCTCCAATTACGTACAAGGATTTAATGGATTCGAGGATATAGGTAAATCGCAGGTGCATTAAACTTACTACAATGGTACTTAGCGTTGTATATTCCAGCTACAAGCATTTTCACAGTTTACCAGGCAGCATCCCAGGAGGGATGGGTTTTCATAATGTACCGTGCCATAGATAGTCTTCCAGCTTGGCGAGCCGCATTCTACTTTAGTACGATGATCTTTTTCCTGGCGTGGTTGGTTAAGAACGTTTTCATCGCTGTCATCACCGAAACGTTCAACGAAATTAGAGTTCAATTTCAGCAGATGTGGGGAGTACGGGGACACATTCAAAATAGCACAGCTTCACAAACCATAACCGGAGACGATACCGGTTGGAAGCTTATCACCATCGACGAAAACAAACACGGTGGTTTGGCTAACGAAACCTGTCACACTATATTGAAGTCTCCCTACTTTAGGCTGCTGGTGATGTCTACAATTTTAGCAAATGGAATTGTGACGGCTACTATGCACTTTAAACACGACGGAAGGCCGAGACAAGTTTTCTACGAGAAATATTACTACATAGAAATGACGTTTACCTTCTTACTGGACCTGGAAACATTGTTCAAAATCTATTGCCTAGGCTGGAGGGGATATTTCAAGCATTCGATTCACAAATTTGAATTGCTACTAGCTATTGGGACAAGCCTTCACATCATTCCCGGACTTTATCTCTCTGGGTTCACCTATTTTCAAGTACTTCGAGTGGTGCGTCTGATCAAAGCATCACCAATGTTGGAAGGTTTTGTATATAAGATCTTTGGTCCTGGCAAAAAACTTGGCTCACTGATCATCTTCACCATGTGCTTGCTAATTATTAGTTCCAGTATTTCGATGCAACTATTCTGCTTTCTTTGTGACTACACCAAGTTTGAAAGCTTTCCGGATGCATTTATGTCTATGTTTCAAATCCTGACACAAGAAGCCTGGGTTGAAGTTATGGACGAAACCATGATACGTACGAGTAAAACACTGACTCCATTGGTTGCCGTATACTTCATACTGTATCACTTGTTCGTCACTCTGGTAAGTTGCTCTAAAACTATTCTCATCATGATGATTCTTAACATACGATTTCAGATTGTGTTGAGTTTGTTCGTGGCGGTCATTTTGGACAACTTGGAGTTGGACGAAGACATAAAAAAGCTAAAACAGTTGAAATTTCGCGAGCAGAGTGCAGAAATCAAAGAAACACTTCCTTTTAGACTGAGAGTGTTTGAAAAGTTCCCAGACTCACCGCAGATGACAATCCTGCACAAAATTCCCAACGATTTCACATTGCCGAAGGTTCGTGAATCTTTCATGAAGCAGTTTGTGATTGATATGGACCCAGAAGATCCATCGTTAATCGAGGGCTACAAGCGTCCAGTATCGGAATGTTGGGAGTCGAAGGTGGTCTATCGAAAGCAGAAACCGGTCAACGTGATGAATAAAACGGCCAAAGTTCGATCGGTGGGAAATAGTTTGAGGAAGATGGCAATTACACACATAATCAATGATTCAAACAACCAACGGCTAATGCTAGGCGATTCAGCAATAATTCCTGTCGCGGGAGCCAAATCCGGTCTCAAATCACAAGGCACCATAACGCAACACAAACCATGGAGAATGGATCAGAAGAAGTTTGGTTCCAGGTCGATCCGACGCAGCGTGCGTAGCGGTTCGATAAAATTAAAACAAACCTACGAACATCTTATGGAAAACGGAGACATCGGTGGTACGGGTCGAGTAACATCTTCCCGAGCGAGACCACATGATTTGGACATAAAAATTTTACAAGCAAAACGACAGCAAGCGGAGATGAGAAGAAACCAACGAGAGGAAGATCTACGAGAAAATCATCCATTTTTCGATACACCTCTTTTTGCAGTGCCGAGAGAAAGTAAATTCCGGAAAATTTGCCAACGAATCGTTCACGGCCGGTACGACGCGAGACTTAAGGATCCACTGACTGGCAACGAGAGAAAAGTGCAATACAAGAGCATGCAGTAAGTATTATTTCTGAAATCTCTAGAATGCGACGCGGTAGTACCTTACACCCTGAATGACGGGTCCAGTCGAGGATATATTCGGGTTAGAAATTGTGTTGACTTAGGATCGCTTATTGTTTAAAAAGTTGCAAAGTAATAAAGTTCTTTGGTTTCCATGTATATTTTTCAAGAAACTCCAGTATGTAATACATTTCGAGAGTCTGCCAATCTATGAAGTTGCCGTCTTCGATAAAGTTGTTCACATGACCAATGCCTTCTGTATGGTAGACATACAAGTTCAGAATTCTCTCACTATGTGAGTTTTTGTGTAGGCTACATCTTTGAGACCCAGGTAATCTAGAAAGCTTCAGCAAAGTTGTTGAGGAGAAGGCCAGTCAAGTTCGGAATCATATCACTACTTAGCGCTATGCATAGTATGCATAGTATGCACAGTATGCATACATGCGTGAATTCCATGTACATACTGTGCCTCGAGATCCTCATCATCTATAAATAAAGCTGCTGTCTTTGGCAAAGTTCATCAGGAGTTCTATATGATTATATTCAGAACAAGGATGACGTTTACGAGTCTGACATCAATTTGAAATCCAAGATAGCAACTTCTGTTTATAGGGTGTCCATAATTTCGCTGTACCACTGTTTGGTGGAATTTGAGTAGTTACAGCTTGCCAACTCCGGCCATAATAGGCCTTATGCTGCTCCAGAAAAGGCAGTAGAGACGTCTCTTCCGTAAGCACTCCTCCTGGTAAATTTACTGGTTCGTGGTTCCAGAAGTAACGAAATTTTCGCTTTTCAGTTCACAACTGCAGATTGCTTGCCAGACAAGGAACTTTTTGGGAAATTCCGGCTTCTTTTTGATCAACAGAGGTAAATTCTTGCCCAGGACAGTCGCGCACGGAACCCCTTTGGATACGGTTGTGTTTGTTTTGTTTTGTGCGTGCGTTCGCTTCAGAAGATTTGGCGCTTTCTGCGTTGTTTGATTTTTTTCTCCCGGACCAGATATTTGTGGCATCGCGAGTGATAATGTTTCATTTCAGTTTATGTACGCGCTGCAAGGTGCGTGAAAGAGCTTGACACGATCGGTGTTGATGTTGGTTCACTTGCAACTATTTTTGCAAATAAAAAAAAATAAGTTTTTTCGAAAGAAATTGATATTGAAAGTGTACCAAAAGTGCTTCTGAACGTGTCACAGTTGGGTGGTGAAATTCGCGGTTGTTTTCAGTGAAAATTCCGTATCACAAATTTTCTCACCGAGTTCCCTTTTTTTGCCGTTCGACGACATCGGGAATGCGCTCCGGGATATATTGATTTGGTGAGTACGTTCCAGTTGAGGATTGTTCTTGTACATTTCTCGATTGCATTTTCGAGGGGACGTGTCTGCTCTTGTGGGCAGTGCGTTTGATGCTCGGTTTGGTAGTATTCTTTTAAATATAATCTCTCATGTCCAAATAACCTCGATTTTCGGTCTATTGATTCAATACTTTAGTATTATATTTTCAAAACATACAATGATGCATTATGTCATTTCATGGCACATAAAACAAAAAGTGTGTGTATAGGACCCAATAATCTAGGTTATTTATATTTTGTAAAACATCTTTATTTTTTATTATATTTTTTCATTTTACTACATATTTTATATTCATTATATATTACATGATTATATATAAATTCATAATGTAAATTACAATAAATACTGGGAGGGGAGGGAGCATCAGGGCATCATTGAAGTTGTAACTGGACAATGGAGTGGAGTACCAACCGGAGTCTAGGAGGGAATGTGTACTGTCATTTTAGATAGTTACATTTCACTCCAACAGTTGCAATGAATTTGACGCGCTCTTCTTAAACAAACCATCCCTTGGAAAGCTTAACATGTATTGCGAATTTAGTTATTCATTTTGTTGGATCATATTGTTGGAAGGAGATTCTCTTATTCCCGCGGGTTTCGCGTAAGTGCCTCTGCTAACGGGCCCGTCCAACCCTTTTTTGGCCCTTCATACAGCAGTATGTTGAATTCAGAATGATGACGGAATTTGATCTTGCTGTTGAGTGGAGCCGCATGCAGGGCAAGACCCAAGCTAGGATGGTGGCTACTTACATACATACATACATACAGAGGTAAATTCTTGCCCAGGAATGTGATCGAAAACTGTCAGGAGCGGATAGAACGGGATTTTCATTTCGAGCGTGCATGATCGAATCGCGACGTGCTTGCTCCGGTGAAAACATGATGTAAACCAATGAACTTATCCTGACAACACAGAACAGAACAAATCGGTGAATCAAAAAGTGGTACGTTCACAGTCCGCATCGTACTCTCTTGCCGTGCGGATCTATTTGCTTTTTGCTGAAGGAAGTATTACTACTACCTAAAGCTACAATAAATTAAAACAGCACTTTTCAGTGCTCAACCTGTAAAATTTCTACCTTGTTCAACTCTTATTCCTCTTCGATCCTTGTTTGGACCCTACCCGAGGTAATCCTTCTTGGATATCGATTTGGAACATTCTTCTTCGATCCTTCAGATTCTTATAGTAATCTGCTTGGAAGTCGATTTGGATAAAAATTTACTGCCGCCATGGCGCCTAAACGCAAAAGAAAGGGGCAAACTCTTGATCCCCCTTCTGATGAAATTAATTTGAGTAATCAATTTGATTTGCTCACGGATGATGAGAATGATCCATCATCCAAGAAAAAATCTAGTAAACTTTCTCGGCTTAATGCCAAGAAGGAAAAGTTTCCCCCTATTGTGATAACCACTTCCGATTTCCATGCTCTTCGCATGGAACTTTTGAGTTTCGTGAAAGTTAAATTTTCATTACAAATTGGACGTCGGGGTGAATGCCGTGTATTGGTTGAAACCTTGGACAGATTTAAATGTCTTCTCAAGTATCTTACTGAGAAGCAGCACAATTTTTTACGTACGACATCAAAACTGAACGTGTGTTCAAGGTTGTCATGAAAGGACTACCCAGTGGTGAATCCCTGGATCAGTTCAAAGATCAACTGGCAAAATTACTTGGAGTTGTGCCACTCCAAGTAATCAAAATGAATATGAAATCCCGTCCTGGTGATTCGCGCAACGGGATTTCTAATGATTTTTATTTAGTTCACTTCAAGTCTAGTGAACTAAACAACCTTAAGGCCTTAGAAAAAGCTAACCTTATGCTCCATGTCCGAGTGAAGTGGGAACACTTCATGAAGACTGGAAGAAATTTCCAAAACATCACCCAGTGCCGTAAGTGCCAGAGATGGGGTCACGGAACTAAAAATTGCTACATGCCAGCTAAATGCATGAATTGTTGTGATTCCTCTCACGCAAAGGAAGACTGTCCTGTGAAGGAAGATCGTAAGAAATTTAAATGATTAAATTGTGGTGAAAACCACAAATCTAATTTTTGGGCATGTAAGACTCGCAAAGCGATCCTACAATATGGTTCTAAGCGACAGGTAGGAAACGCTCCACGTTTTCGATCAGGTACAAATTCCTCTGCTGTTAACAACGGTCAGCGAGGAACAAATTTTACATTCCGACTCATAGGTACAAATATCACCCCTGGTTCAAGTTATTCATCTATACCTACTCCGCTCGCTGCTAACAATGTTCAGCGAGTTAATGAAGCTACCTATGCTGCTATTGCAACGGGTAGAAATCAAAACACTATCCAACGTAATTCTAACGGAAATTTTGAAAATTTTGATTTAGGAAGCATTACGCTCCTAAAATGGAATTTTTACAGAAATCATTAATTGACATGATTTCTGATATGCTTAAATCTAACTCCATGAAATATTGTATACAAGTTTGTAAACGATTTCAGTGTTTATTCCAAGTATAGCTCAATGTTAAACGTAGAGAGATTTTACGCGATTGTTAAAATTCAGAATTTTTTTCTGTGCGCATAGTACTTTTTCAAATGTACATTTACCACCTCTGATTGCGACATACAACACTTTTTACACAGAAATCATGCGGATAACAATATATTCCATGCATGGAGATGAGAAATGCATCGAAAATGATATAAAAACAAATATTCAGCTATCAATCTATATGCAAAATAATGCTAATATTTGGACATAACAAATGGCCAAGCAGTTTAAATGTTTTAAAATTTTGTAGGTAGAACTTAGACAATCATATTCAATCGACTACAAAAGGGTCGATTATTCGATTTATTACAAGCAAAAAAATGGCTCCTTCCATGTCGATCAAGCACCCGTAAGATCAACCCTTTCTATGTATCCTATGGAGGTTCCGGTAGGGGTAGTCCCGGATGTAAAGTTTGACAAACAGTTATGAAGCAACAATAGAAAAGGACTCATCAGCATTTGTAAACAAACCGTTCTAAAGCCCTTTCTCCAGAAAACGAAGGCCGCTCACAGAAACCAATAACATCATCGTGTAGGGGAAAATTTCCCCTACCCGATGGTGATGTTGGTATGCGTGGACGGCCTTCGCTTTGCGAGGAAAGGACTTTAGAATGTTTTGTCTACAAACGCTGATGGGCAATTTTTTATTGTTGTCCCTACAATCCCCACCCCCACCCCCTCACACACACATACACACATTCACAAACTCTAACATTAGTGTATTTAATTCCAGCAATTTCCTCGGCCTTGTGACCTATCTCGACTGGGTGATGATCTTTGTGACGACACTTTCCTGCATATCGATGATGTTTGAAACTCCGCAGTACAGGGTGATGGAACAGGTGACACTACAACTCGCCGAATATATTTTCGTCATATTCATGAGCCTCGAGTTGGCACTTAAAATACTGGCAGATGGATTGTTCTTCACCCCCAAGGCCTACATCAAGGATGTAGCATCGGTGTTGGATGTTTTTATTTACATTGTATCGCTTTCATTTATAATATGGATGCCTCGTCAAGTGCCTAGTAGTTCATCTGCTCAGCTTTTAATGATCTTACGTTGTTTGAAACCGTTGCGTATATTTACACTGGTGCCACACATGCGTAAAGTTGTGTATGAACTTTGTCGTGGCTTCAAGGAGATATTACTCGTATCGACATTGCTGATTCTGCTGATGTTTATTTTCGCTAGCTACGGAGTACAACTCTATGGAGGCCGTTTAGCACGATGCAATGATCCAACGATCATCAAGCGAGAAGATTGTGTCGGCGTGTTCATGAGACGGGTATTCGTAACAAAGATGAAACTAACTCCTGGCGTAAACGAGTCGTACCCGGCAATGCTTGTGCCACGAGTATGGGCCAATCCAAGAAGATTCAACTTCGATAACATTGGAGATGCCATGCTGGCACTGTTTGAAGTCCTGTCCTACAAGGGTTGGATTGATGTTAGAGATGTTCTCATCAAAGCACTTGGTCCAGTTCACGCAATCTATATTCATGTGTACATTTTCCTTGGTTGTATGATTGGATTGACGCTGTTTGTAGGTGTAGTGATTGCCAACTATTCTGAGAACAAGGGAACAGCACTGCTTACCGTAGATCAGCGCCGATGGTGCGATCTGAAGAAGAGATTGAAGATTGCCCAACCTCTTCATTTGCCCCCTCGTCCTGATGGACGTAAATTCCGCGCTTTTGTGTACGACATAACTCAACATATAGCGTTTAAGCGGTGCATTGCTGTGGTGGTGTTAGTTAACAGTATGCTTCTATCAATAACGGTAACACTGCGCATCACGTAAGTAAGTCTGAATTCCATTCTTGTGACATTTACCATTTTTTTCACAGTGGACAAAAGACGAAGTTCATACGGAGCGGCTGGTAATCGTGAGCACGTTCCTCACATTCGTTTTTGTTATAGAAGTAGTCATGAAAAACATCGCCTTCACACCTAGAGGATACTGGCAGTCTAGACGTAATCGATACGACCTATTGGTGACAGTGGCAGGAGTAGTATGGATTTTCCTCCAAACAACACTGAGAGTAGGTGCATCGATATGAAATAGATAATCAAAAAATTAAACTCTTCCATCATTCTAGAGCGACCTATCATATTTCATTGGTTTTATGGTTGTCATATTGAGATTTTTCACAATAACTGGCAAGCATACGACCTTGAAAATGTTGATGCTCACGGTCGGTGTATCAGTGTGCAAGTCGTTCTTCATCATCTTCGGAATGTTTCTGCTAGTGTTCTTCTATGCGCTAGCAGGGACGATTCTGTTCGGTACAGTAAAATACGGCGAGGGAATCGGGCGGTAAGTACCCTCCTGCGATGGATATGTAGCGTCCCATTTGATTTTTTTGTTTTACCATACACATTCCCATCATCTTTCGAGCACCTTTAATCGCTAAGAAAACAAAAGTAAGCAAAATTCACTCCGTAGTTAAACGTACTCGTGACTGTCCCCGCAGCGAGTAGGGAATTATCCGATGAATTAAGTCCAAACGGGCCTCGTATTTCACCGGGTTATATCTCTCGAGATATCAAGTCCTGGGTGAGGTAAACCAAAGAAAAATCACACTTTCGAAACGAAACATTGCTTAGTTCATTCGATAATTCCCGAGTTTCTTGGTTCTACAGGCTGAGTCTTGCTTTGGAGTCAATTCATCAAACTTAAAAAATAAAGCTAAACACATTTGATGACTAACGGTATTGCCAAAACTCTGAGATACATTAAAAAATAATCAAGATGCACCAAAATAAGCGGATCTTGTTTTTTTTTTTAATTGCAATAACCGAATTGTGGAATTACTGATGCCTTATTGCAAACGTGATACTTTTAGCTATAAATGGTAGGTACGAGAGAAAAAGACATTAATTAGCAGCGCGACACAGAAATCATTTCGGAATACCTAAGGTTGTGGGTGATTTGCAATAAAATTGGTGTGACATACATTTTACTTATTCTCTTAAAACACGATTTAACACGTTTCAATCGTTCAATCAGTTGAAATTAAATCATAATAAAAAAAAACCTTTAAATTTCTTAGCTTTTGCACGTATACAGAATGTGCACACAAAAATGGGTCAAAACTATCGACTAAACTAACTAACTATTTTTGTGGGATTTCATTCAGTTTTTGTGAAATGGCGTCGATAAAAACTTTAAAAAATGTACACATGTGTTTTGCACAAAGTGGTGAAAATTACAATTTTTGTTACACAAATCACATGAAAAGTCGGCAAACCATAACCAATTTTCTAATGATCATTTGCTTTTATTGTATGATTAAAAAAAAATATTTCAACGCTTCCGGTAACGGATTTTCATCCACTTGTTTCATGTTGTGATGGTTTTAAGATAGCATTACTTTGCCAACCATCTGAACAAGCTCAGAAATTTATGATCAAAAGTCCAATTATGTTAATTTTTCCACTTTCATTTAATAGTATACAGCCAATAATACTCAATTATGCAGTTTTGGACTATGAAAATGCCTTTTAATCAAACGAAAATGGGCGTAGAATGACACAGTGCAAAAAAAGCATTTTTTAAGAAAATAATAATCTATTAATTGGTAATATGGTATTGTTTACCTCAATCAAAAGGAATCTTCGAATCATGTTTAAGCTTAAAATACATTAAAGTAAACCATAAGCTAGTCAAAAATTGTTCTTATGTAAAAATAATCGCTCAATTGAAAATGGAGCCTAGATACAATGGTTCAATGCTGGCTACATTTTGACAACATGATTGACCTGCTGCACCAATTTTTGGTGTGTACATTCGTTAGTTGTGGTAGAGTACCTATAGTTGTTGGTAGGTCATATCAGGCTACCTGGGAATCGGGAAACAGCTGATGACTCTTCCCGGGAATAGGTAAATATTTGTATCCAGTGACCAGATATAATTTTCGATAGTTATTTATTAGAATTAGAACTTCTGTCGGTCGACTTATGAAGCATAAACATATTTCACAAATGTTGATATTGTGATTGCGATTGCTTGTGTCTTCTGACTCCTTAAAATTTCTTTCAACTTTCTCTTCCAAATTTCCCTGGAAATGTTTCAAAGCTGGCCCTGGAAATGTCTAGTTTCTTCACCGGAAGCTTTTCTGACTTCGCACTTCCAACTTTCGCAGGAAATTTATTTCAACTTTCCCATAAGATTTTCCAGTCCTATAGTGGTTCCGGAGACGAACCAGCCCAGGACTGAAAGTCCCCTTAATAAAGATATAAAAAGTCCTGCAGTGTATTTCTACTCCTCCGGATTTGTTTTACATATTTCCACCTGAAGTTTTTTCTGACTTCTCTTAGAATACTTTTTCGACTTCACCTTGAAGTTTCTTCCTACCTCCCCAAAAGTCCTTCTGTCTTCCAATTTTTACGGGATGTTTTCTCAGAGTTCCCCGGAAATTGTTTTCGATTTTTCCTACTTTTTACAGACACATGATATCGAGGCTATCTGTTGATGAAGGTCAAGGTCCGGAACGCGTTCAGTTTCGTGCGGTTCGTGTTGGTGCCGGTATTGATGGACGAGATGTTGTACGACGTGAAGCGAATTCCACACGTTTCAATATATTTACGCGAAGGGGAATTATTGACAATAATATTTATGTGAATACAGAAATATTGTCAATACCGATTTATTGACGTCAATATTAAATGTATTGATTATAAGTTTATAGTCAATAAAAGCAATCATGTAGGGTACACTTAAGAGCCATTTATGGGCGGTGTTCCTCATCCCTCTCGTTGTTGTCATCCCGGTGGGGTTTTTTACCAGCGGGTCGTCCTCGGTTTCGTCTGCTGCTCGTGGAAGCGGAGGATTCATCGGTTTCGTTCCTGATGTCACTCTTGCTCTGCGATCGCAACGCACTTTTGGGTTTTTTGAATACGTCTTCCAGACTCACGGCAGTTTGGGGTGGTGTTAAGTGCACCCCAAACGACAGAAGTTTTGTCAATATTTCCATCAATATTTTCATGTCAATATTATCAACAATAGGTGGAAGCGATGAGTCGCTCCTCACTAATATTGTTGTAGCTGCTGGCATATTCCGAATCAAATCACAACCCAATGACGTTTATATAAGGTCTGGGCCAAAAGGCTTATTGGTGTTAGTGAAATGTGCAAATGTTTAGTGGTGTTCGTATTTTATTGCAATGTTTATCTTTTTACACGAAACAGCTGTTGGCAGTGACGTATTTCTATCTGTTCTCAGTATGTTGGCAGTGACGTATTTCTATCTGTTCGGAGATGTTCAGCAATGTTTACAACATTTTGCTTCTAACACCAGCAAGCTGCCTGTTGGCCCAGACCTTATATAAATGTCATTGATCACAACCACCTTGACAAAAGACGCCAAAGAACAGGCCCCATCTGCTGCTGTAGTCATACAGAAGGGGAAAATGAGAGGAAATATTGAAACATGAAATCAAACTTTTTTTGTTTTTTCGTCGTCAATATTTGTATCATTATGATTGTCAATAATTTTGAGGAATCACCCTGGCTCGAGAACTGCAGCAGTTCGGGAAAAGCTTTCGACGACATCGATGGTGGAGCGGTGGATTTTTGACCGATTGGTGTCGTGTTTGATGGTTTCGCACCCGCTGGTTTCTTAGGTCGCTGACTGTCCCCTCCAATCACGTTCACGTAGCTTTTGTGGAATACTAGCTTTTTGTTCTGAACACATGATATGCCAGTGTGCGCTTGCTCTTTGCAGTAGCGGCTGGATTGCAGCTGTCCCTTGTAGACAACGAACGCGTGCTCTCCGTTGATGTTGACCCACAATCCACTCCGCTATCATACGTGCAGACCATATGCCGAGCGGAATTCCTTAACATTCGATGCTCTCTCCCCACTATACCTCGCGAATCGAGAACCCGTTTAGAAATGGCAGACCTTCAGGGAGGTCGTAAACCCTCACTTGAACATTACCATCTTTCAAAGTAATCCGAATCTTGAGTTTCTTCCCCTCACCACACTCAAATATCGAGATTCTGATCACAAAGGAGGCTGTTCTCTTTGGCAAAGTTTTTCTCATGGGGACTGGTGAACATAATTCAGTTCAGACTTATAATTGCTTGCTTTGACTTGATAGAATGTCGCTGATTTTTGGAAAAGTTGTCCAGGTAGACAATACCTATTGGATGGTGGTCTGAATTTATATACACACATATATTTTTTTACGCGGTTTTTTTTTACACGGTTTTTTTTTAAGGCGGATTTCAGAATTTACACGATTTTTTTTTACGCGGATTTCGGAATTTACGCGGTTTTTTTACGCGGATTTTGGTTTTTTTACGTGGATTTCAGAATTTACGAGGTTTATCGTTATACACTAGAGTCGCTTTTTACGCGGTTTTTTTTGACACGGTTTTTTTACGCGGTTTTTTTTACGCGGATTTCGGAATTTACGCGGATTCCGGAATTCACGCGGTTTTTTTTACGCGGGACGTATCACCCGCGTAAAAAGCGACTCCAGTGTACTCAGTTGTCATAAAAACTGGGGTTACTCAGAGCTTTGAGTAATTCCCGTTTTTAAGACAACTGAGTAATATTTCATTAAGAGAAAAAAAGATAGTAATACAATTTTACTAAGTCACTGAGTAAGACTGTGTGACTAACGCATGAACTGAACCTTAATTTGGGAAGTAAAGGTGTGCACCTTTTTCAATTATGTTTTTTTTGTTTTCTTTTTTTATTATTATTATCACTTTAATACTCTTGGATCATTCGTGACTTTTCTGGGAATGAGATTTGAGCTCGTGACTTTGGCGTGAGAATTATGGATGTTAACCACTACGCCGGAGCCGTCCCCACTATGGAAGAGTTAAAAAGTTCAAGATCTGCGACAAGGTCAAATCTTGAAGGGTATTCTGTATAGGTAGCTCAAATTATCACGATAATAGAATATTAACAGATACATAGTCCATACATATGATACTCCATCGGACATCATATGATACTGGAGAGCCTCGAAAACGTATGTACGTAACTAATTAAAAAAAAGACGATTACCTTAAAACTTTACATTCTCTGTTTTGTACTAGGTCTTTAGATACTGCAGTCTTATAGATTATTTCTTCCAATCCAAACCTTCCATCGCTAATCAATTTTCCTATTAATTTGTTCAAACCAGTGTTACTTTAATTGTCGATGTTGTATTTCTACTTTCTTCAAACATGAACACATAAACTAAGCAAACCATTTATAAGCCTTTTCCTCAAATGCTCATCAACACATAAAAAAATGCATGTTGGAATGCAATTCAGTACCAAGTTAACCAAGCTGTGCAAATTATACCATTATTTTCCTCGCTGTTTTAATATGTTACATATAAAACAAACTATCAAGGGTTCCGAGGCCGTTTGCCGTTTGACATAGTGACCATTTGGCATAAACGCGAAAACATGCATTTTTTTACCTTTATCGAACATAACTGCTTATTTTTCATGATATGTTGTTGAAAAAATATGAAAGAACAGCTCATGTTCAAAAGAAGGGAAAATATTTATTAAATGATAATTTTCCCTTCTTTTGATCATGAGCTGCTCTTTCATATTCAATTGAAGTACAGCCCATGAAAAAGAAGGCCACAGAACTATTTATCGGTATAAGAAGTGTATTTCCGCCTTTATTTCCAAACGACCATTATACCAAACGGTATTATGCCAAATGCGGTACTCAAGGTTCCGCACCACTTCGTCGTATGAGTTAAAACCAATTAACACAAAACGCTGCAGCTACCTTTGATCATCAACTTATTTGCTTACAAAATATAGAGATGAACTAGCCGCAGGTTAAAATTTCTATAACATAGTATAAAAAAGCTTGCTAAATAAATTAAAATTGTTGTAAACAAATTTATATTGGACCGTGAAATGGTCTTTTCCATGTGGATATGATACAGCGAAGCGAAGTACGACGAAGTGACGCGACACCTTATCGTTTGATTTTACTTATTTGAAATTTCGCTCCTCGTGTTTACCGGCCGATTGTATTTTGTATATGACTATTGTAATTCCCGAAACATGTAACCAAAAGGGTTTAATGTCCCTCTTACCGCTTTCCAGTTTTTTCGATGTTCTAGAAAAGTATACCAATGTTCTCACCTATCTCAACCAACTCTACTCCACCGCTAGTTTGTTCACTTTTATTCTTTCACCGAGTCATGTATAGTTAAACGTTCATATGCTATTGCGAAAAGTTGTATCATCCTTGTAGTTGTTTCGAACACGTTGCTTATTTCTTTGATATGTGTTTCTTTCTCTGTTATATGTATGAATCTGAACATTTTTAGCCGAGCAAACTTCGGCACACCCGTCGCAGGAGTGGCAATGTTGTTCCGTATTGTCACCGGCGAGGACTGGAACAAAATCATGCATGACTGTATGGTTCAGCCTCCCTACTGTACACCGGCTGCCAACTATTGGGAAACAGACTGCGGAAATTTCACCGCGAGCTTGATCTATTTCTGCACTTTCTACGTTATTATTACCTACATAGTACTGAATCTACTAGTCGGTAGGATCACAGACGCAGCCGATCTAGGGATAGAATAAGTCAAATTGATGCACTTTTTTCTTGTAGCTATTATTATGGAGAACTTTTCGTTATTCTATTCGAACGAGGAGGATGCCCTTTTATCTTACGCTGATATAAGAAATTTCCAAAATACGTGGAACATCGTAGATATACACCAACGAGGAGTCATACCGGTTAGAAGGGTTAAGTTTATCCTACGACTACTGAAGGGAAGACTAGAGTGCGATCCTCAAAAGGATCGACTTCTTTTCAAGTACATGTGCTACGAGCTCGATAAACTGCACAACGGAGAAGATGTAACGTTCCACGATGTTATCAAGTAAGATGATATATTAGATTGTATTAATTTTATTTTAACCGAATACATATGATTCCAGCATGCTATCGTATCGTTCTGTGGATATACGAAAAGCGTTACAGTTGGAAGAACTACTGGCACGTGAGGAATTTGAATACATTATCGAAGAAGAAGTTGCCAAACAAACCATTCGAACGTGGCTTGAGGGATGTCTTAAGAAAATTCGAGCCAATAACCAGGTGATGCGAAAATAACAGAGTAGTTCCACGCCAATTGACGAATCGGAAAAATTCTACCTTCTCCTATTTGTATAAAACTTTGCATATTTGTCTAAGCTATGTCCTCAATCATATATATATTGCAACAAAGTAGGCAAGCAATATATTATTATCCTTCTACCACTATGATCGAGCTGTGTTGCAGGGAGAGTTTGTCGTGGTGGTCGTAGCAAGCCTTTTGTCTGTATCGTTGGTTGGTTTATGTGTTTAGATCCGCTGTTATGGGCTCATTCACATTTTTACAAAAATTCTGCCGTTTTGGATGTCGTAATTTTTTTTTTCAAAATGGCGTTAAAGCAAATTTTTCAATAAATTCAGGGTTATTCTGCGTGGCGTATGAGGTGAGACGACAATTGTCACCTCGCAGTCACATGACTCTTCTCACTCTATTCCGACAGTCGACTCGGGTGAGGTGAGAGGTTCATTCTTGGGTGAGTTGCAAAGTGACTCGGTGTTCATTCGCCGAAATGTCAGTTTGCTTTGTTTTCCGAAGAAGGCCCATGCAGTTTTTGTAGGTTCATTTGTCAGTTTAATCGCAGGTTTTTATTTTTTACTATGAACATGCGTTTCGAGTCGTATTTCATGTCAAACAAGGTAGATTAAATATTTTATTATTTTCTTAAACATAATCCGCGTTCACATGTTCGAAATCATGCATAAAAACATCATTTAAATGGATTGAAAATGTTCGGCCTGTGCTAGACCCTTTCAGTTTTGGCTGTTTGTTGTTTTCGGTTGCGGACGAAGTTTTTTTTTCCAATCGTGGTTTTTTTTTAATTAGGGTCCAGGTTCCAGTGTATTCCTCCATTTACGAACCACACCGGCGGTTCGTAAATCGAAATAGACGTAAAAAACATTATTTGCGATTTATTTCCAAAAAAGTTTTTGGAAAATTTTGTCGAATACCGCACAAAATGGGTATTTTTTGGTATCTGGGTGACTTACGGGGACCGGAAATCAACGCCTGACGTTATTTTTATTTCAATATGGCGGCTTCCGGTTAGAGAAAAGCTGGGAAGTACTGCAAAATAACCAACAACATGGGTATTTTTGGAATCTTGGTGACGTGTAGTGACTGGAAATCGATGTCTGAAGCCTTTTTGAAATTCAATATGGCTGCTTCCGGTGCGAGAAAAACTTGTACATTCTGTCAAATACTCCACAATATGGGTATTTTTGGAGTCAGAGTGACGTTTGAGGACCGGAAATCGATGTCTGACGGCATTTTGACATTCCATTCTGGTTAAAGAAAAACTTGGAAATTCGGTCAAGTACCCCTCAATATGGGTATTTTTGGAATCCGGGTGACGAATATTTATTTATTTATTTCATCAACCGATGTAGACTAGTACAAATACATATACAAATTTGTTTTTCTTAAGAGTATTAAAAAATATATTGTCAGCTATTATATTTTTACTTCCTACGAGTTATGATTCCGTATGGAGTTAAAATATTGTTTTAGTTTATGCCGAGACATTGAAAAGTCAATGGTTTCGCAGTATTGATTGTAAGACGCCATCATGCGATTTAATGGCCCAAATTTTGCATAATTTGTGCGATGATGGGTTACGGCAAATAAATTTCGATTTCTGAGTTGTCGAGTAGGTACATAAAAATTTAATTTTGATAAAAGTTCTGCTGAGTTAATGCGCTGCGAAACGATATCGTTTACAAACGAAACCATTGCATATTCACGACGCTCTTTTAATGTTTGTATGTTTATAAGCATGCAGCGTGCTTCATATGATGGAAGAGGAAATGATGTCCAACCTAATTTACGAAGGGCATATAATAGAAATTGCTTTTGTACTGATTCTAATCTTTCTTCGTGCGTGATTGAAAATGGAGACCATACAATGCTGCAATATTCCAGTATTGACCTCACATAGGCAATATATAGTGTTTTAATTGTGTATGGGTCCTGAAAGTTATAGCAAAAGCGCTTGATAAAGCCTAGCATGTTATTTGCCCTGTGAATAATTGTATTGTAATGGTCTATGAAAGTTAGTTTGGAGTCTAAGATAATCCCTAAATCCCTGACTCTTTCACATTTTTCTACATTCTGATTTCCTAATGCAATTGAAATGTTTGATGGTGTTCTTTTTCTGCTAAATGATATTAAGTTGCATTTTTTTACATTCAGTTCTAATAGGCTTTTTTTACACCATGTGTAGAATATGTGTATTTCACTCTGGAATATATTGATGTCTTCATCATTTTTTATTTCCAAAAAGAGCTTCATGTCGTCGGCATAGATTAGCAATTTTATTTTTTTGAGAATGAAGGAAATGTCGTTTACGTACAGAATAAAAAGAAGAGGTCCCAGATGAGAGCCTTGCGGGACTCCTGAGGTGACTTGAATTGGGGTCGATTTCTTTCCGTTGAATTTAATTATTTGTTGGCGGTTAGTTAAATATGATTCAAGCCATTTCAGGAGTCCTGGCTCAATTCCAATTTTTTTCAATTTGAAAAGAAGCATTGGTATGTCAATTCGGTCAAATGACTTGCTAAAGACGTGTAGGGACTGGAAAACCATGTCTGACGTCCTTCTGAAACTCAATATGGCGGCTTCCGGTTAGTGAAAAACTGGGAAATACTGCCAAATTACCCACAATTTTGTTATTTTTGGAATCTTGGTGAAATGTTGTACCGGATATCAAACACCCCACAATATTGGTATTTTTGGAGGGACCGGACAGCGATGTACGAGGCCGTTTTGAAATTTAAGATGGTGGCTTCCGGTTAGAGAAAAACTTGGAAATACTGCAAAATACCTCACCATATTGGTATTTTTGGAGACGGGGTGCTGTGTACGGACCCTAAATCGATGTGTGAGGCCATTTTGAAATTCAATATGGCGGCTTCCGGTGCGAGAAAAACTTGGAAATTCTGTGAAATACCTCTCAATATGAGTATTTTTGGAGTCTTGATGACGTGTAGGGACCGGAAATCGATGTCTAAAGCTTTTTTGAAATCCAATATGGCGGCTTCCGGTTAGAGAAAAACTGGGCAATACTGCCAAATTACCCACAATATGGGTATTTTTGGAATCGGGGCGACGGTAGGGACCAGAAATCGATGTCTAACGCTTTTTTGAAATCCAATATGGCGGCTTCCGGTTAGAGAAAAACTGGGCAATACTGCAAAATTACCCACAATATTGGGTATTTTTGAAATCTTGGTGATGTGTAGGGACCAAAAAACCATGTCTGACGCCTTTTTGAAATTCAAGATGGCGGCTTCCGATTAGAGAAAAACTGGGCAATACTGCGAAATTACCCACAATATGGGTATTTTTGGAATCGGGGTGACGTTTAGGGACCGGAAATCGATGTCTAACGCTTTTTTGAAATCCAATATGGTGGCTTCCGGTTAGAGAAAAACTGGGCAATACTGCAAAATTACCCACAATATTGGGTATTTTTGAAATCTTGGTGATGTGTAGGGACCAAAAAACCATGTCTGACGCCTTTTTGAAATTCAAGATGGCGGCTTCCGATTAGAGAAAAACTGGGCAATACTGCGAAATTACCCACAATATGGGTATTTTTGGAATCGGGGTGACGTTTAGGGACCGGAAATCGATGTCTAACGCTTTTTTGAAATCCAATATGGTGGCTTCCGGTTAGAGAAAAACTGGGCAATACTGCAAAATTACCCACAATATTGGGTATTTTTGAAATCTTGGTGATGTGTAGGGACCAAAAAACCATGTCTGACGCCTTTTTGAAATTCAAGATGGCGGCTTCCGATTAGAGAAAAACTGGGCAATACTGCGAAATTACCCACAATATGGGTATTTTTGGAATCGGGGTGACGTTTAGGGACCGGAAATCGATGTCTAACGCTTTTTTGAAATCCAATATGGTGGCTTCCGGTTAGAGAAAAACTGGGCAATACTGCAAAATTACCCACAATATTGGGTATTTTTGAAATCTTGGTGATGTGTAGGGACCAAAAAACCATGTCTGACGCCTTTTTGAAATTCAAGATGGCGGCTTCCGGTTAGAGAAAAACTTGGAAATACTACCAAATTACCCACAATATGGGTATTTTTGGATTAGGAATGACGTGTAGGGACCGGAAATCGATGTCTAAAGCCATTTTGAATTCAAGATGGTGGCTTCCGGTTAGAGAAAAACTTAGAAATTTTCTCAAATATCGCACCATATGGGTATTTTTGGAGTTGGGGTTACGTGTAAGGGCCGGAAATCGATGTCTGCGGCCATTTTAAAATTAAAGATGGCGGCTTCCAGTCAGAGAAAAAATTGGAAATTTTGTCAAATACCCCTTATCTAGGGGTATTTTTGGAATCGGGGTGACGACCAGAAATCCATGCCTGGCGCCATTTTGATATCCAAGATAACGGCTTCCGTTTAAATAAAACTGGGATATTGCAAATACACCACATTATGAGTATTTTAGGAATCTAGGTGACGTGTAGGGACCGTAAACTAATGCCTTTTTTTTTTAATTCAAGATGGTGGCTTCCAGTTACAGAAAAATTGAAAAATACTATGAAATACCCCTCAATATGGGTATTTTTGCAATCAAGGTGATGTGTAGAGACCGTAAATGCATGGCTGATGACATTTTGAATTCAATATGGTGGCTTTCCGTTAGCAAAAAACTTGGAAATTCTGTCCAATATGGGTATTTTTGGGATTGGAGTGACGTGCATGGACGGAAAACCCGCCTGTATTTTTCTTTTTTTCTGTAACCGGAAGCCACCATATTGAATTTCAAATTAGCATCAGACATGGATTTCTGGACCCTACATGTCACCCGATTCCAAAAATACTCATATTGTGATGTATTTGACAGAGTTTCCAAGTTTGTCTTCTATCGGAAGCCACCAGATTGAATTCAAAATAGCGTCAGACATGGGTTTCCGGTCACTACACGTCACCCCAATTCCAAAAATACCCATATTGAGGGATATTTGACAGAATTTTCAAGTTTTTCTCCAACCGGAAGCCACCATCTTGAATTTCAAAATGGCCTCAGACATCGATTTCCGAACCCTACACGTCACCAAGATTCCAAAAATACTCATACTGTGGGTAATTTGGCAATAATTCCCAGTTTTTCTGCCACCGGAAGCCGCCATCTTGAATTCAAAATGGCGTCAGACATCTATTTCCGGACCCTATACGTCACCCCAATTCTAAAAATACCCATATTGAGGGGTATTAGACATAATTTTCAAGTTTTTCTCCAACCGGAAGCCACCATCTTGAATTTAAAAATGGCCTCAGACATCGATTTCCGAACCCTACACGTCACCAAGATTCCAAAAATACTCCTACTGTGGGTAATTTGGCAATAATTCCCAGTTTTTCTCCCACCGGAAGCCGCCATCTTGAATTCAAAATGGCGTCAGACATCTTTTTTCGGACCCAATACGTCACCCCAATTCTAAAAATACCCATATTGAGGGGTATTTGACAGAATTTTCAAGTTTTTCTCCAACCGGAAGCCACCATCTTGAATTTCAGATTGACCTCAGACATCGATTTCCAGTCCCTACACGTCATCCCGACTCCAAAAATACCAGTTTTGTTGGGTATTTGGCAGAATTTCCAAATTTTTCTCAAACCGGAAGCCGCCATATTGAATTTTAAAATGGCCTCAGACATGGGTTTCCGATTCCTACACGTCACTCCTATTCCAAAAATACCCATATTGAGGAAGCCGAAGAAACAAAAAAAAATTGATTGAAACAAATTTAGAAGTAATAAATTAGCGAAAACCGCAACCATCGCTTATAGAACTCTAAGGCTTTCCTTCCAGTCGACTGCAGCGGAGGTTACGACTCTTGTCACCTAAAATCGTCACTTCAGTACGACTTTTGTCACCCAAATACGACTGTGAGAATAAGGTGAGAGTTCATCGGGTTCATCCCAAGTGACTCTTCTCACCTCCCTCGCCAGCTGGAATCGGGTGACACGAGTGACTCGAGTCGTCTCACCTCATTCGCCACGCAGAATAACCCTGATTGTAGCACGAAAATCTCACTTCTGATTGAAATGACGTCTGTGACAAAACTGTAGCGAAAATTAAAGCCTTTCGGGGAAAAATATTTATGGTATTTTGAGCAAAAATTAAAAAATAAGTATTACAAACTCAGATATCTCAAAAAGTATATCTTCATTTATTTTCAAGTTCATAAAAATGCAAACTTTTGGAATACTTAAAACAATGGATACTTTGAAATTCACAAAAAAAAAACGTTGAACAAGAACTTTGGTCAAACACATAAATCAGCGTTAAATAAGTTTAAACATATGACCAAAAGTTGATGATCTACGATTTTTGTTAATTTTCAAGTGTCCATGGTTTTAAATATTCCTAAAGTTTTCATTTTCCAATGCTTTATTTAGAAAATAACTTATAAATATTGAAAATATGCTTTTTGAGATATTCCAGTTTTTAAAACTTTTTTGAATTTTTACTCAACATTACTAAACATAACTTACCGTGTATATTTTTCCCAGAATTACTATACTTTTCTACTTTGTTTCAGACGTCATTTCGATCAGAAGTGACGTTTAAGTGCTACTATTTATCAAATATAGTATATTACGATATGATCTACTCTTTCGCTTAGCTGGTGAACTAAATTTTTAGCGATGTGGTCAAAACGGCTACCAATGTATTTTTTCATCTTCACGAGGGGTAAACCAAATCTAAATTTGTGTAATATTTTGTAAGTATTTATTTCAGCATATTATTTTATTTGTTGAAAACACATAAAATAATATTGTAATTTGATGATTTTTTTCAACGCTAGATGGTGCATGAAGCAATATTTTTCGGGTCGCTATTGCAATGTGCGGAAAAGGCATAAATGGATCATATTTTTTATAGTCACTTCAACGTTCTTGGTCATTCGTGACTTGTCTGGGGTGAGATTTGAACACGGGACTCTGGCGGTAGAGTGCTAACCTATACGCCTGTGAAACCCCCCGAATAGATCATATTATCAATATGATATATTTGAATTTATTGAAAAATGACAAAGACGCCATTTTGAAAAAAGAGATCCAATATGGCCTAATCTTTACAAAAAATTGAATGATTGCCCATAGCTCATAATTAGGCAAAGTTTCATGCACATTGGAGTAAGTCGAGTCTTATTTTTCATTTACTATCCTATTTTGTCTGGAACTGGTCAACTTTGATATAATAGTATATCAATAAAACTAAAACATTTGTATCGTGTTTTTAGAAAGCACATAATCCACTAATTGCTGGATTGCGAGCTACAAACGATAACATTCAGAAGCAGCAGCAACAACAGCAACAGCAAAACCAGCAACAGGATCAAGTAGAAGAGCCCATCGCAAGCAAAGAAGTAAACCCAGAGACGGAATCAGCAGAACAAGCCGCAAAGGAGATAGAAAACAACGCAAAGAACCGAAAGAAAAATCAAAACAATTTGATCCGATCAGATTCTACCGGAAGTACTAGCGGGCGCAAGTTCCTGGCGCCGACTCTATCCGATCCACAAGCCAAAAACGAAAAGGATCGATACATGACTAAGAAGAAATCCCAACGACAGCAAGGTTCGAGTACAAAAACTATAACCCAGATCAACGAACTGAACCACAGTCATACGTTGCATCAACATTACCACCACTTGACTCACGGAGGCGATATGCAACAGAGTAGCAATAGTAAAGTAGGTCACCCGCATATTAGTATGGTCTACGAAGTACACGACTGGTGGCAAGAGCAAGTAATTTGTTCGCACAGTGACGACGAAGATGTTTAGTATAAACTTCTTTTATTTTTGTACAATAAGAAATGCAGATTCATAATCGTTGATGATTGTTACCCACCTTTTTACTTCATGCGTCCCTGTTGATAGTAACACTGAAAGTTGGATTGCACAAAGGAAGATTCTTTTTTATGAGTGTTTCAATGGTTTTAGCCAATTTTATACATTTTTTTTATATCTAGGGCATAGAAGTATTATGTAGCTACTATGTTCTATATAGATTGAAATGCATAGTGATACAGGAAATAAAACTAATTGTTGAACTTGTATTGTTTTCATGCATTGATCAGATGGGAAATTCACTGAGTGTCAAGAAAAAGAATAACCCGCGTAATTCTGAAACAATTTTCCTTTAGTCAATCAAATTTGATGGAATAATTTGCAAAATATGGAACACCGCATCTAAGACAGTACACAAGAAACATTGTATTAGACTGAGAAAATAGTTGTTCTATTGTACAAAATATCACACATCCCTGAGCAGGCTTGTACCATTAATGTACCAGTGTTCGCTCATGCCCCATATAGGGTAGAGCGCTACTTCGTCGTAATCGTCCATTTACGTTCTATCGAGCAGAAAACATCACCGTGCACAAATCAGTAATACGTTTGTACCGATGCGTTAGTTCACAAGCTACAACACAAAGCCTATTAGAGCGTACTGTGTGAATATTTACACTCATCGTTCTCAAAACAAAAGAAGCGCTCCTAACATACACGCTTTTTTCTACCTTTATCCGTTAGACGAAGAAAATCCAATGGCGTTTCAATGCGTTTGGACGGAATTGAAACTCGTAGGACGAATTTGGAATCAAGAAGCAGTGTTAGATTTTTAACAATATCTCAACAATGTGTGGCTCTTTATCAAATTCAACGGTACTTAATGAAAGGGGAATAAATTGAGAAGTCATCTTTGATAGAAACATTTCCTTTATTTTTAAAACCCCTTTAAGAAAGAGAGGTAAAGCATGGGTTGTCCTTAGTAGGACGGAAATGAGATCAAAAGCCCTACCTCCCATTTTTGTAAAAAAAAGGCTATTTTTCGGATCAATTACAATAGACATATATATATATATAAATTTGTATATATACTTACCGGTTAAAAACCTTAATTTTCATTGGTTATTATTACTTTTGCTGAAATATGTCTTTTTGCTTAGCTTAGACTGACTGCACATATCAATGGTTGATACTCCGTGCTTGATCCGAACCAGTGAAATTGCACAATTAAACAACAGAATGACTGACCGGGAGTGGTCGATCATTCTCACTGTACAACTCTAGTGATTCCAAATATTTAAGGATCAATAACGGCGCCGACCACTTCCTTGCAATCAGGTGGGAATGGGAAGGGAATGTTAGTGCGAGTACACCTCTGCATCGCCACATAGATCACGGGAGGGATATTTTGTTAGAAGGTTAGGTTTGTATGATCAGGATTCACCTTAATAAGGGATGTGATATAGTTTTGATACAATGTGTTGTTATGCTTCTTAACAATGAAATAAATTTGAAAAATCAGTGAAATTATGCTTTAAAGTATACTTGGATTTGCCTTAATGACAGCTGAAAAAAGTGAATCATTAATATATAAATCTAATGTCAACCCATCATTGAAGAGCTGAAAATAGACTTAAATCATGAATCAATCTAAAATAAATCTGAAGATGTTCCATGATCGAAGAACTGAAAATAGACTCAATTTTTTTTTTGTCCACATAGGATTGCAATGATTGGGATTTGTTTTCCTCTGTTCGGGACATGAAACCACTGCGACCACTAAGATTATTTTACCGAAATCTCAACAGCAACTGTTCGGTAAACAGTTCGGTGATTTTTCACAGATATTCGTTGAAAAATTACAGGAAAACTGTGAAAAATCACCGAACTGTTTACCGAACGTTCAGCTGTTGCAATTTCAGTAAAATAATCTTAATGTGTAGTATATCCCGTATCCTTAGTTTAGAGAATATCGTATTACTCCATCACTATTGAGAAATGATAAAGTATTCGATTTTTTACAGTTGTCACTCTTGCATTTATCGCAAGGATCCGACTCTAATTTAAAGGTCCCGCTATTTATACCCTTCGGAGTGTTGAAACACCGTCCAAAGGCGCGCCCCTTTGTCAGTCAAAATAGGATTCCTTAGCAACAAAATTAAGGAACAACGAATAGAAGATTAGGAATCACATAGATGAATACTAACTAACTCATTATTTTCTTGTTTCAAGATCATCCTTGGTGGGCAAAGCCGAGTCTTGTCACTATCAACAAGGCGTAAAAAGTAACAAGGACTAAGATGTGTTCCTTTGATTACTGAAAAATCCTGTTGCCCTAGTTTGAAGTAGTCAGGATTAGGAATCGGTAGTAGATCTTAGAAATATCAAGTGACTATTGGAAGGATAAGTCTATGCTGACCAATTAAACACCGGGCTATCGAAATCAGCTCACATAATCTTCTTGAAAAATTTTGTGAATCAGTCAGTGTCAGCGACTGTCATAGTTTTTGTCAATGTAATTTATCGTATAAATGTCTTTATCACTCAGTGTTTTTCTCAATCCGTGTATGTATGTGCCTTAGTAAAGTAATTAAGATTCAACTTGAATTGAACTAAACAGAAACGCGAACTGACGCACACACATATTTTGAATGAAAATAGGAAGACAACTAACACGGCATTTACAATTTAACATTGAAACAACGGATTTACTGCTTCTGAGGATGGTTTCCACGCGTTTTTTTTTTTTTCGTTTTTTACTCGGCTTAATGGTCTTAGACTTTGATTTTCATATTTACAAGCCGTGTCTATGCGGATTTTGAATATATGCGATTTTTACGCAGTTTTCGAAATTGACGTGTTTGTTACGCAGATTTCGGAGTTAACGCAATTTTTTTCATTGGGCTAGATTAGATCCCAAACACATAATTTGTATTTTTTGATTTTGTTTTTTACGCGGATTTCGAATTTTACGCAGATTTTGTAGGATCGCGGTTACACGGTTTCTTAAGCAATTGGTTTACGCGGCCCGTATCACGCTCTCAAATCTCGCGGCGTGTATCTCGCTCAGCTGGCTTTTCTGACCATATTGTATACCACATACAGGTGATGCAAACCTGTCATCCCTGGGTGCTCTCATTGTCTTGTTGGAATACTGCAACACAGATCTCACATTCGAGTTGAAAACTGGAGCCCGGTGTGCAAATCCTTCTGGTTTGATCTCCAGAAGCTTTTCCGATTCGTCCATCCATTTCGTCCTTCATTCGGCCGTCTAACGTTATCTGACCTCTTAGATATAGTAAACGCCTTTTTTACGTAGAACTACGTCTTTGTCGACTACACTGGGGTGCAAATCAAAAAATATGTGTGGTGAAGGAGTGTTATACCCTGGACAGACTATGGCTTATATCATGTAATATAGGCTGTCTTGCAATGAGCACTCATACATCTAGTTTTCACTGGAAATCCTAAATATGAGTGCTCATTGCAAGACAGCCTATATTACATGATATAAGCCATAGTCTGTACGGAGTATTAGGTTTTGAACGCTTGTAACTTTGTCATTTATAAATAAAATTAAAATCCAAATACGCCAATCGATAGGATATTACAACCTGTTGAAATAAATATTTTTCCAATTTTTCTGTAATTAAACTATTGAAAGTGTACAAATGATAATTTTATCACTGATTTCATGAAATAAGCCTTTTTCCCAAATCCAGTCATCATAAACGAATACCACTTGGTTGCACATCATTCTGCTTGAACCTGAAAAGATATAAATCAGCGCTGCTCTCATGCCTCTGCTCATTACCGCTTCGGACGGCGTGGCACTAGGTCCTGCATCAAGCAGAACTAGGTCAGCGGCTAAAGGTGGATCACGGCGTGTCCACCACAATGAGGAATGAGACTTGAAAAAACGTGCATGTAAAACCCCCTCCCGCTTAATAACCCCCTCCCCCTCCCCCTTAGCAATAACCCGAAAAAGACATGGACTTTGACGATCATTTTTTTCGGGAAATAAATTTTAAGCAAACCCTAATAATGTATGAACAATTAATTTTTTACATGCAGATCCAACATTTTCAAAAAAATATTGCTTAATAGGAGACGTACACTCGATAAATTACCAACAACTAATTGTAAAACATATCTGGTACCTCTATATATGCAATTATATTAACATCCTAAGTCCATCCTTTTTTACATATTCTGCACAAAAGAAACTTTTTGCTCCGCCCCATTCATAAAAAAAAACGGCAGGAAATCCTATCAGGTTCTGAACCTGAAAAGATATAAAACAGCGCTGCTGTCATGCCTTTGCTCATGGGCCTTCTAACCGAGACCCATCTAAAGTCCGGCGACAGCTTCTGGTTGCCTGACCACAACACTATCCGGCTTGATCGCACCAGCTCCAGGGGGGGTGGTGTTGCGGTCATCGTCAAGAAAGGAATAAAATACCACACTCTGTCCCATATCCGCACCTCTATCATCGAGGCCCTTGGTGTGGAGGTGGAGTCGTCGACTGGATACGTCCAGTTCATCGCCGTCTACTGCCCTCGACAGTGTGCCGCCAGCAGTGGACTAGCGGCTAAATTCAAGAAGGACCTGTCCACCATCACCCGTACCGGTTCCCGCTTCGTAGTTGGAGGAGATCTGAATGCTCGCCATGAGGCCTGGCGGAACTACCAGCAGAACCAGAACGGTCGTCTCCTGTTCGACCACTCACAGCATGGGCTGTACTCCGTTTGGTTTTCGGATGAACCAACATTCATCTCACCGGCGGGCAACCCATCGACGCTAGACCTGTTCCTGACAAATATCGGCTTGTCCAAGCCGGTAGCCTTGAACGAACTCAGCTCCGACCACCAACCGGTGGTGGCTGAACTGGGCTGCAACGTGGCTCCTGCTTCAAGCCTGCGCAAGGACTACCATCGCGTTAACTGGGCCCAGTTTGGACGCGTGGTAGACAGGCACATCATCGACAACCCGCCGCTTGACACCGTGGAGGACATCGACCGAGCGTTGGAGGGACTCCACCAAGCCATAACCGTGGCTGACGAGGCGTGCGTCCGACGAGTTCCTGTGAGGGGTAAGTTTATTGCCATTGATTCCCACACCCAACTTTTGATTCGCCTGAGAAATGTTCGTAGACGCCAGTTTCAGAGGACTGGAGATCTGGGCAAAAAACGTGAAATGGCTGATCTGAACAGACAGATTGCTTCCAGAATGGACTCACTCCGAAATGAAAGTTTCGGGCGTGTTGTCCAGAATCTGGACGACCGCTCCAGACCATTCTGGAAGGTAGCCAAGGTCCTGAAAACTCATCCCAAACCCATTCCACCTCTCAGAGTCGAAAATGATGACGATCGGCTTTTAATCACCCCACAGGAGAAAGCAAATGCGATCGGCGAGCATGTCGCTTCATCGCATTTGCTTGGCTCGAAT